TTAGAAGGTGACAAGGACTTAAATAGTCCAAGAGAATTATCACCTGAAGCTGAGAAAGAATTGGCCTTGGTAGAAAAGAAAGTACATGAAGTACACGTGGATCATATTGATCCAAAGCTGGATTGCATTTTGGTTATTTTACCCTCTAGGCATTCTCCTACAGGAATTTTAATGCAGAGGGAAGACATTATATTGGAATGAATATTTTTACCAAATAAACTGAATAAAAAATTAAAAATTTATGTGGAAAAAAATCTCTGACTTGATTTTGAAAGGAAAATTGAGACTTCATTAATTAGCAGGAATAGACCCAGCAGAAATTGTTATACCTTTAACTAAAGAGGACATTGAAAAATTATGGGCAAAAGTGAACCTTGGCAAAGAGCTTGCAGTAATTTTTTTGGAGAGAGATTAACAGCAAATATCCTAAAAGTGATAGAATTGATCTTATAAAGAGAGCTAATTGGATTTTGCCTCGAATTGTACAGGAAACACCTATATCTGAAGTTCTGTACATTTTATATAGATACAAACAAAGAAGGAAAGGCAGGTTACAAATCAGAAAATTTAAGTAAAATGGTTCAAAGTCCCTATAATTCCATTCAAAAATTGGAATTGTATGCTATTCTGTTGGTATTAATAGATTTTTCAGAACCTCTCAACATAGTTACTGACTCTCAGTGTGCTGAAAGAGTGGTATTACAAAATGAGACGGCAGAATTTATCCCTGATGAGTCAGAATTCACTTCACTATTCAGTTACAAGATATAATCAGGAAAAGGAGTCATCCTTTATATATAACTCACATCCCATCCCATCCGGGTCTGCCAGGCCCTCTAGCACAAGGTAATGATGAGATTGATAAATTATTGATAAGAAATGTGTTGAAGGCTTCATAATTTCATTTTAAAAAAACATCATGTCAATAGTAAAGGTTTAAAAAAGGATTTTTCCATAACCTGGCAACAAGCCAAGGAAATTGTAAGGAAATGTCCTACTTGTTCCTTTTACAATCTGACACCATTACCAGCAGGATGTAACCCAAAGGGTACTCAGAGGAATGAAATCTAGCAGATGGATGTGTTTCAGTTTGCAGAATTTGGAAAATTGAAATATGTACACCATAGCATTGATACTTATTCAGGATTTCAATGGGCAACTGCTTTGAGTTCTGAAAAAGCTGATTCTGTAATCACTCATTTGCTAGAAGTTATGACCATCATGGGTATACCTGCACAAATCAAAACTGACAATGCTCCAGCATATGTCTCTGCTAAATGAAAGGGTTTTTTTGCTTATTACAATATAAAGCATATTACAGGTATACCACATAATCCTAAACGATATGCTAAATAAACAGAAAGCGGTAACAAAAAACCCCCAGAAATAGACTGCATAATGCTCTATTAACTTTGAATTTTCTCTATGTTAATAAGAAAGGAACAACAGCTGCAGAGAGACATTGGATAATAGGAAAAAAACTACAGAATTAAATCAGCCTATATACTTCAAGGATGTGCTGACCCTAGAATGGAAACCAGGATATGTGTTACATTGGGGACGAGGTTTTGTGTTGCTGGAGGGCTTCTCTCCAGGTTCCACCAAGCCCCGCAGTCCCACAATCCATGTATAAAATAATTACTCAGACTCTTATATTATTTACAACTGTATGGCCGTGGCAGGCTTCTTCTTAACTGTTCATATATCTTAAATTAACCCATTTCTATAAATCTATACCTTGCCATGTCACTTGTGGCTTACTGGCGTCCTTACATGTTGCTTGTCCTGGCAGTGGCTGCAGTGTCTCTCCCTCCTTCTTGCTGTTTCCCCAATTCTCCTCTCTCCTTGTCCCGCCTATACTTCCTGTCTGGTCACTGGCCATCAGTGTTTTATTTATATAGAGCAATAGCCACAGCAGTTTTGCTTTTGTTTCTACAGTAGAAGATAAGCGGTGGATACCATCAAAATTGATAAAGGTTTGATTTGAACAAGAGAGACCTCTTAATTAGAAGAGGTGATAGTTCATCAACCAGCATGACCATCCAATTTAAACTAACTTATACCATTAACACATGCCTTTTCATTTAATCAGATATAACTTGTCAAAGGGAACCCCCCAAAGTTAGTTTTGGGGAAAGGTTTTTGTTTTTGTCTTTTAGGAGAATGAAGGCTAAGGAATCTGAAGAAAACTGGACAAATGAGACAACTGAAGAAAAGGACAAATCATCTAAAAAAAATGTCCCAAGAAAAAGAGTAAAATAGCCTATTGGTATATCATCTATAAAATTTTGTAAGTCTTCCTAAATGTTTGTTTCTGCTCTTCTCTAAAGACATTTAACACTATTGGTCTTCTTGTAGTCCCAGTTCAATTAAAATTTAAAGCTGGGCCGGGCTCTGACATCTTGGGCTTTTAACTCTTTATTTGGCTCTGTGGTTCTTATTTAATAAGCCTGTTTAGAATTACATCTACAGTTTCCCTTCTTGGTATTTGTTGGTGTGGGATTATCTATTGCCTGAGTTTTCATGGGTATGTTTAATTTCCTTAGGCTGGATTTTTCCTTCTAGTGCTTTCTGTAGGGCTGCATTTGTGAATAGGTATTGTTTAAATCTGGTTTTATCATGGAATATTTTGTTTACTCCATCTATGGTGATTGAGATTTTTGCTGGGTATAATACTCTGGGTTGACATCTGTGGTCTCTTAGTGTCTGCATAACATTTGTCCAGAACCTTCTAGCTTTCATAGTCTCTATTGAGAAGTCTGGTATTATTCTGATGGGTCAGCCTTTATATGTTACTTGGCCTTTTTCCTTTGTGGCTCTTAATATTTTTTCTTTGTTCTGTATGTTTAATGGTTTTATTATTATGTGGTGAGGGTTTTTTTTTTTTTTTTGATCCAGCCTATTTGGTGTTCTGTAAGCTTCTTGTATCTTTATAGGTATTTCTTTCTTTAGGTTAGGAAAGTTTTCTTTTATGATTTTGTTGAATATATTTTCTGTGCCTTTGAGTTGGTATGCTTTTCCTTCTTCTATCCCTGTTATTCTTAGGTATGGTCTTTTTATGGTGTCTCAAATTTCTTGGACTTTTGAGTTATGACATTTTTGGCTTTAGTTTTTTTTTTTTTTTGATTGACAAATCTATTTTCTTTATTGTGTCTTCAACGTCAAAGAGTCTCTGTTCCATCTCTTGCATTTGGTTGGTTATGCTTGCATCTGTAGTTCCTGTTCGTTTAGTCAGGATTTCTATTTCCAGCATTCCCTCAGTTTGTGTTTTCTTTATTGTCTTGATTTCAATTTTCAAATCTTGAACTGTTTCCTTCTTCTGTTTAATTACTTTTTCTTGGCTTTCTTTGATTTCTTCCAATATTTTGTTTGTTTTTTCTTCCATTTCTTTAAGGGAACTTTTTTATTTCCTCTTTTAGGAAGTTTTTCATTTCCTCTTTAAGTGCTTCTATCATCTTCTTAAAGTCAAGTGCTGGGATTACAAGTGCATGCCAGCATGCCCTGCTTGCTGACTAGAATTTCTTAGAAGTTTTTCTTTTTTTTTTAATAGTTTTTATTTTTATTTTATGTACATTGGTGCTTTGCTGCATGTATGTCTGTGTGAGTGTGTCAAATCCCCTGGAACTGGAGTTACAGACAGTTGTGAGATGCCATTTGGGTGCTGGGAATTGAACCCGGGTCCACTGGAAGAGCAGTCAGTGCTCTTAACCTCTGAGCCATCTCTCCAGCCCTAGAAGTTTTTCTAACTGAACCCTTGTTGGTTAAATGGTGCTGCTCGTAGTTGGCTGCTGCCTGCGGCGGCCATGCCAGCAGAGGAGAGTGCTGATCGGAAGAATCAGAAGCCATGGTTACCTTTTCAGAGCTTTATTGGGAGAGAGGAGGGAGGGAGG